TGGGTGACCCTGCTTGGGCAGGGGGTTGGGCTGGGTGACCCACAGAGGGCCCTTCCAACCCCTGCCATGCTGGGATTCTGGGATTCTGTGAAGGTTGTTCTGCGCCTGGCCGCTGGCTTCCAGCTCTGTCCGTCCATCCAGTAACACGAGCAGCTCAGTCTCTTGTTCCCAAACTCAGTATTTTTAACGGATTACTTGTTGGCATGGTTTGTGGGCCTGGGGGGTGGCATTTTGTATCGTTTAAAAGGCGTTGCCTATTGTGTTCTTTAAGCAACTTGAAGTGTGTTGCAGCCACGCTCTTCTGGAGCTTTCCCAAAGGGGAAGAAACATTTCTTTTTCAAGTTGAGCAGCATGGAGCCAATGGATGGAGCAAGGGACAGGGAAGCAGGACATGCTGGATCCCACTCTCAGCGGTGTTGTGGCCATTAAGCGCTCTCTCCATGCCATCCCTCTGGGTGCCATCCCTCTGGGTGCCATCCCTCTGGGTGCAGAAGGGCCCCTGCTTTACAGACAGCAAAGCACCATAGCTCTCTGTACCCTCCTGCTGACACTCTTGGTGTTCACCAGACGCTTGTAAGCATAGGTTTTTACCTCCCGTGGGGGGTTAATGCCCTTAGCTTGGTAAGCTGAGGTTGGGGAGTGGAAGGAGGACAGGTCTGCAGCTGTGCTGGAGCACCAGGGTCCTGGGGCTGTGACAAAACTCGTGGGCTCTGCGTTGATTTGAGAGCCTGAAGTGACTCCTGGGAAGTAGCTGTGCTGGTCGGGATTGCTGGAAGGGCATCGGGGAGCGGGTGGTGGTTGTGCTGTGCATGCCAGTCGGGCTGGGTGACAAGCCAACAGAAGGCTGCTTCTCCCCCTGGTTAGGCTAGCGGCACCGGTGCAATGTGAGCGTGGCGTTATGGTTTGTGCCTAGAGAAATAATTAATCAGGGATCTGTAAGAAGTCTTCAGTGAATTTGGTTGTTGCCAGCCACTAGCAAATAAATACCAAGCCACCTGAAAGACGGTCTTGTTCGGTAGGAGCTCGGTACCTCGCGAGTCGCTCTGGAAATCAAACCGTGGTAGCTGTACAGTAAGCAAGGAAGCGCTTTAACTTGACAGCTGATGCCTTAGTCATAGGGGCATGGCAGCGGTGGTGTGCAGCGTTTTCACTGCAAGGAAACAAGCAGGTGTTAGTCCAGACGATGCTTTTTATCTCGCCCTGTCCCGGGGAACGCGGACTCGCTGCAGCGACGGGCCGCCTTGCTTCGCTGCTGCTGCTGGGCGCTGCGTTGCCTGCGGAGCATGCGGGGGGAAGCAAACAAACAAGTCTGGAGGAGGGAAGTGATTAGACGAGCCTCAGCTGGTTTTTTCCCCTCTTCAATGGCCCTCTTTCATCAGGATATGTTAGGACAAGTGCTTTTTCAAGCCAGGATATCGGGGGAAGACACAGTGTTCTGTAAAAGTCATCCAGATCCCGGGTAGCATCAACAGAAGCGATTTCTCTGCTCCGCACAGAATATACGGTCAACCTTTTCTTTTCCTTCTTTTCTTCTCTTTTATGAGTTTAGAAGCAAAAGGATGTGAGTTTTACGGCTAGTTATGAATCTTTTCGAATTTGCTGACTTCTGTCTGACTCTTGGGCCGGCACAATGCTTCTGCTGTTCGAAGAAAACCAGTCCAAATTAGTATGTATAAGCCACTCGTTTTGATGCTTCTAACAAATGCTGCTTACTGGGGCATTTACCACTGCTGCCGAGGGTCAGAAGTTGGGGATGGTCTTTAATGATAGGATTTTTCTGTTCTTTAGGAGATTTATTTTGTTTTGATTTTTTAAAGGCTGGAGTTTTTGTTGTTTGCTGGAACTGCGGGATTTCCAAGGGTTTTTAAACCTGGGTTGGAATGTCATACCTTGCCTTTTTCTCGCTTTTGTTTTGTTAGCTGCCTTTCAGAGCAGTTGTATGAAGTGACTGAGAGCAAAGAGTGTTCCTGGAGCGGAGATAATCGTGGGGAAGTCGGGGAGCGCGGGTTGTGCTGGGGAGGTGCGGGCGGTCCGAGGCATGGCAAGCTGCGCTGCCTGAGGTTGGTGCACAGCGTAGGGCACAGATGTTTAAATTGAAAAAGAAAGCTTGCTCTCCACAGGTTCTTTGGCTTTGCTTTCCGGTTCATTTCCATGCAGATGAATACACGGTGACAAAAACTTTGCTGTGTGGGTCGTCCTTTTCCTGCAGTTGCTGTCTGCTCCTGCAGCACAACTCTCTCTCATTTGCCTGCAGCTGGGAATATTCTGCTTTATTGTGAAAGATTTCCTGACTGCAAGAGAGGAGAACATCAGGCAAGATGAACGGTCAGAGCAGGAGTTACCGATGCCTTTGGGAACGAGCTCTGTCTCTTCCAAGGTTTCGCCTGCGGTAGAAATCCAAGTCAGCACTTTATTAGGGATAAAAGAATACCCTTTGGGATAGTTTTTCGCTTTCCCAAAGAAATAGTTCCCAAAATTATTGGGACAGGAATACTGTGAACTATCTCCTCGTGCGTTATCTAATCATTCCCTTCCTCTTGCTGAAAAAACAGAGGAGTGTGTGCGAAGCTGGTATCTAGCTGGATATCCTATACGTTGTGTTGGTGTCACTGCTTTTGCGTAACTTCTGGCCCTTTTTAACGCTTTCCTGTGAGCTCTGGTGTGTGAAGGAAACGAGACTCTTCCTGGCTCGCCTATGGAACGAACCAGATGCCCGTTTGCAGAAATTCTTGCCGTTAGCCAGGCAGAGGCGAGCTGGTGTTCGGATCCCGAGCGAACTCTGCGCAGCTCCTGTTCGGACACAGCTTGCTAGCGAAGTGAGTGGTGAGTGCTGGAACACTGTGGGAGCGTAAAGGGAGAAACGCTTGTTTTAATTAGAGAGTGGTTGTCCTGCTGGCGTTTGATTGATGTGATGTATCACTTGTGGAGCCTGGAACTTAGGTGAAAATTTTAGTTCGTTTTTTAAAAGCTGCTAAAATCTCAAATTTAAGCCTGATCCAGATTTTTGTGGGAATTTTGCAGCTTGAAGATTCAGCTGAAAAATGAGGAAGCCTTGCCTGGGAACCTCGGCTGTGTTCTCAGAGAAGGGAAAAGGTGAAACTTGCAGCAAAAGCTGAAAAGGCATGAAATTCACGTCTGTCTTCACAAAACCACGAAGGCAGAATGGAGCATTTGTGCTCACTTCTGCCCAAAGGCCAAAACCCCAGATAAAGTACAGGGTGGGCGAGTGCTGGGAGTAGTAACTCCTGTGGGATCGTTTTCTGCAGCAGAAGTAACTCCCATGGAGCACAGTCTCGTAATGGAGCACTTATATTTAGTAGGTAGCAGACAGTAATTAATGATGATCTATGTTTGGAAGCGTAGGGCGGCAGAAAATTGGGCTCTGTAGCGAGGAACGTCTCTTGTGATGTTTGGAGCGGTGTAGGAAATGCAGTGTAAGCAGTCACTGTGGCAACTAAAAGGTAGCTGAGTAGATGTTGATTTTCAGCCTTGTGGGAAATGCTAACTTTACCGCCTGTGTCTAAATCTATTTCTAAAACGCTCACGAGTGCGTTGTGGTGCTGTGTAATTAGGCTGATGCTGGTGCTTACTGTAACTACCGATTTTGTTCGGCTTTCTCTTTAGTTGTGGGGCCTGCGTGCCGTTCGGCTCTGTGCAAGCATCGGTATGTGTTTGCACACCCGGAGACCTGCCGCCTCATCGGCAGGGTTCTCCAGGACGGCGGTATCTAGCCTGAGCAAAGCAAGGTCTTTGCTATTGTGCCGCTTGTTTTTTCCCCTGAGGTTTCAGGGCCGTTTCCTTTCTCTTGTGATGTGCGGGTTTCATCTGCCCTCCCTTCCTCTTTGAATCTGCAGACAAGTTACGGTTGCATGTTCTTGTTTTTGCATTCCAAAGAAGTCTCGAGAACTGAAATTAGGAACCAATTGACTCAGAACCTGATCTTCAGTCATTTTACAGGTCTAAGCCTGTAAAAAGTCTTAGGCTCTACTGTTTGTAAGTTGCAGAATTGATAATCAAATGACAAAGTCGTTTCCAGCCCGTGACAGCTCAGGCAAGTATCTCCTGCGATGGCCAATAATAAAATGTTGGTGGAAAATGACACGTGAATAATCCATGAATAATCCTGGAGCCATGCCCTGCGAGTGGCAGGATCAAACTCTGGGAACAGCTTCTCGTGGCAAAATCCTACGACGTTCCAGTGGGGGGAGGCCCTTCCTTCCCCAGGCGTACGGACCTGAGCGCACGTTTTGCCGATACTTCCTTTCAGTTGACTTCTTCTGTCGTTTGTTTTCCAGCCTGAGCGAGAGCTTTTTCATGGTGAAAGGCGCAGCGCTTTTCTTACAACAAGGAAACAGCGCCCAGGGCCAGCGAAGCCTCCAGCATCCTCACAAACATGCAGGTAGCAGCTCAAATCACCGACTGAAATGCCCTTTCCCTCTGGCTTTGCCGCTCCCCCCGTCCCCACGGACAGTGGGTAGCACGCGTGGGTGGGTGGGTGACTGCTCGGCGTCGTAGCGGGCCTTGCACAACCTGCTGAGTAACCCCAGGTTTTCAGCCCGCTGGATTTGAATGGGAACGTGTGATTATCGAGTCGTTGTTTAAACTTTTGTCACTATTTTGGAACTGGAGTGGAAATTTGTTCTCTGCAGACCTTACGGCATTCAGCGTGGCGTTCTCCAGGCAGGGCAACCTGCTGAGGCAGAAGGTCCGTGCTGAATATGTGTCCCTGTTTTCTGCAGATGAAGAAGTGTCACTTGTGCTTCAGTGGTTTGATCTTTGCCTTCCCCAGTAGGACTGGACGGGCTGAGTCACAGGGCTCTAGCACCTCTTCTGTAGCTATTGAGGTCCTGATTCAGCACGGCAGGGACGGTGCTCCAAGTGCTCTCCCAGCCCCCGGTAATCGGAAGCTTGGGACTTTTGGTGCCAGCTGACAGCATTTGTTCTTTTGAAACTGCCTGTTGCTGGTTCTGTTTGATGTTGCCAGTCAGAGTGAGGAACATTTTAACAGGATTTGGGTCTCTGGGTAGATGTATTTTAGTAGAGACAGCAGTGACAAGACGAGGGGTAATGGTTTTAAACTAAAACAGGGTAAGTTTAGGCTGGATATAAGGAAGAAATTCTTTACAATGAGGGTGGTGAAACACTGGCACGGGTTGCCCAGAGAGGTAGTGGAGGCCCCATCCCTGGAAACATTCAAGGTCAGATTGGACAGGGCTCTGAGCAACCTGATCTAGTTAGCGGTGTCCCTGCTCGCTGCAGGGGGGTTGGACTAGATGACCTCTGGGGGTCCCTTCCAACCCAAAACTTTCTGTGATTCTATGTATGTTTCTTAGCTCCTTGTATGCCCTTTCCCCGTTTTAGGAAGATCCCCTTTTCAGTTAACTCATCACAATCTGGCCTGTAACAGTTTATCACGGTTTAAGAACAGTCTGTCCTTCTTCCCCCGGTCTCCTCCAGTGTGCCAAACTGGTGGGAAGAAGCGGTAGGGAGTTGTATGGTGAACGTACGTAAGGGTTGATAAGCAGGCAGGGGGTTCAGAAGAGCGGATTCTGCTTACCCCGTGTTTTTGTGCCTTCTGTCTCTGACGGTTTTGGAGTAAGTGATTACTGGGAAAGAAGAAATCGGATCATCGGGGCGTTTGAGAGCAAGAGCATGTGGGAAAGGCACAGTGTGGTACTGTGTGTCTGCTGCTTAGTAAACACTCCAAGCACAAAGAGGGTGTTTGAATGCCAAGCTCGGCTTTGGGTTTCTTTAATTGTCAGCAATTTCATATACCCAGCAAACATCCTACGGAAGGAATTTTATCTCGTATGGAAAGTTATGAGTGCGTTACCAAGTTATTAGATCTGGCCTTGTTTTGGTTTCTTGTAGATTCCTTGTTCCTTGCGCTTGCTTTCACCAAGCAGAAATGTACCCACCGCTCTAGAGCCTAAGGGACTTGTTGTGTGAGCAAGCACTTTGAGGTAGAAGGGATCCATCGCCCAAACCTGGCCACTCCTGCGGCCCTTCCCCCTTGGAAGTTTCTCGTGTTCAGATACACCCTCCGTAAGGCCAGCGGGGCTGACCCCACGATGCTGTGTCTGGTTCACAAGTCAAATTTTCTCTTTTCTCCTTTGTTCCTTTTTTTTTTCTTTTTAATCAGAGTTGTTCCTCCTGCCCCTTCCTCCCCTGTCCTCAGTGCCCATATCTTTCCGGCTTCGCTAAGATGCTGTACAGGAGGACTGTCATCCTTTGGGCCAGTCACAGGTGGTCTCAATATATTTGGTAGCTTCCAAATACCATCAGGTCGAGTTCCCACACAGCCAGATAACGCCCATCCAAGAAGCTCACTTCTGTCAGTATTCTCTGGGACAGCAAAGTTAATTAGCCTCCCTTAAATGGTAATTTTTGACTTAGAAACATCCAGTTTCATTAACGGTCAAGACTCTGCCGATTCCTAGTGCAGCGAGTGAGAGACCATCTCTGATGATTTCTCTGCTCTCCCTGCAGGTGATTTGCCCCAGCACCTCCAGGTGATGATCAACCTCCTGCGCTGTGAGGATAGGATCAAACTGGTAAGAAAAGATGCGTTTTCCTGCGCTCCTCTCCGTTGGAGGCATTCGAAACAGACCTGTAGAGGTTTGTGGAAAGCATTGGCAAATCCTGGGTGTCAGAGTCAGCTTAACTCTGTGCTGGTTGCCAGCTCTACGGCGTTTTCCTGCCCACGGCTTTTGCCCTGGTCCTTACATCCAGGTGATGAGTTGGGTCAGGAAACCGATCTGTCTGAAGTGTGTTTGTTTTGTTAGATTTAATTTTCCAGTCAGCTGACAAACACCGATACAGGAGGAGAGTCAGGAGCTTGCTGATGCTAGTGGGCATTCTTAAGTCAGTCTTGAAATCGCATCCAGATGGGGCTGGGCTTTCTTTTAAAGAAATGTGCAGAGGCTACCGAAGCCACGGCGACAAGCCTGTGCCAATTACCCCCTCCAGCATGACGAGCGTGTTTCAGAGGAGGCTTGTGAGTGGCAGCATCCTCTGCTCCTGCCGCTGTTTTCAGTGCATGACCAGTGTTTTTACCAACCTCCTAGCTGAACCTCTTTAGAACAAGTCTTCAGGTTACATTTCGTAGTATTTCTCCAAAAAGGGGCAGGTAATCTGGGCTGATCTTCTGCCACTCGATGCCAAGTCACACTGGCAGCTAGCTTTGCTGGAAGATGGACCTCCTCTCCCTGTGTCTTTCACGCTGCAGCCGAGTAAAGCTTCTGGGCACAATTACACCTTAAAAAAATATTAGGCAGCAATGGAAGTAATAATTATCCAAAAGCTAGCTTGCAGAGCTCGGTGACTGTTTTCTAGGCTGTCCGTTTGGAAAGTGTGTGGACAGACCGAGTCCGGTACATGGTGGTTGTATACAGCAGCGGACGGCAGGACACAGAAGAGAATATTCTGCTGGGTGTGGATTTCTCCAGCAAGGAGAGGTATGTCTAAGGCAGGGCTGGGCCTGGGTGGCAGGCAGGCTGGGCTCGCTGGAAAGCCTCTCGACACCAAACTGTCCCCAAGCAGTTGGTTTACGTGGATCTGCAAGCTCCAGCAAGAGAAAAGGCATGTGTCGAGTTTTCTGACCGGTTGTGAGGGCGAGAGGGTGATTTTTGTTCCAGAAAGGTCTCCTTGGAATTTCTGGGCAGTTGTGGGCAAAGTGTTCTCGTGTAATCCATCTGCACGGCTGTGGCATCTAACTCATCTGTGGTAATTTGCTGTCTGCTCGCTACAAAATGCTTTTGTAGACACATTTGCAAAACTGGAACGTACTCTGTCCACCAGACTTCAGGTCTGTTGATGGAATGATGCAATGGAGCTGGCTTTTAGAGGGGGGTAGCTTAGCTGCCAGATAACATCAAAAAAGTATACTGCTGAAGTACCTCCAAAACCAACAAACAAATGTGTCAGTAATGAGCCGTTTCTTTTGTCCAACTGATAAGAGCACATAATATTTTGAAAAGCAAATAAAATATTTTGTTATCGCAGACCCTCTCACGTTATTCCAGCTCTAGCTGAGTAAACCCAGGCAGAAAAGCTCTTGGCTCAGAGCGGCGGGGCTGGTTTAGCAGAGCTGGGGTTAGAAGTCAGAGCTCCCAGGCTGGCGTTTCTGTTCTCTGATGATTTAGCAGGCTGCCATGTGGTGCTGGTGCAGCCAGTGTGACTTCTCTTTTCTTTTTGGAAAACCTTAGTGACTGTTTCCATTGCTCGAAGTGGAAGGGGGAGCTTTTGCACTGCAGTGTGACCTGCAGGGAAGCGCCTAGCTGGCCCTTCTAAATAAGATTATTGTCCCTGGCTTTGCTGCTGCCCCTGGTGTCTGCTGTTAAATTACTGCTGTTAGTGTCACGGAGGGAACTCTAATGTAGCATTTCCTTACGGCACATTCGTGTGCAACAGCAGCCAACGTTTGCTGTCTCATCTTCGGATCTGAAACAACCTTGCAATTATCCAGCCAATTATTGATGTGAGACGAGGAAAGATGGAAAAGTTATGGCAGATCCACCTGAACTGTAAGATTTGCTGCAATTTCAGTTACCGTCTTCCCTGAAAGCCAAAGTTTTTGTTAATGAAGGCCAAGTCTCATACATGAAGAAGTCAGGTGGCCTTAGCGGCTTCACGGAGTGGCTCCATGGGACGGACCGTGTTGGGGCTGAAATGGCAGTGCTGAGCTGCGAGCGTCCTGACTGCTGACACTTTGACTAGGCGGGCGCCTTTGTGGGTTTTTTTCCTTTTACATGTGTTTAATAAAAACCAGTTTTCCTTGCAAAGCTCTAGAGTGCACGTTGTCCCCATGTGTGTTCAGACTGGCCTGTCAAACCCTTTGATCCGCTGTAGAAAGAGGCTGAAGGGTTAAAAAACACAAAAAGAACAAAACAAAACCTGGGTTCTTTGCTAACTGGCTGTTGCTGTGTGCATCCCAATTTCCTTTAATATTCAGTGCCTTAATTATTTACTAGTTGAAAGTTACTGGCCCCCATTATAGTGCGGTTTTCTTGCCAGATTCTGAAATGAAAGTGTTCTTTTGGGTTAGGTAAACTCATAAAATCCGTTTTTCTCCTTTCTACCAGCCGGAGTGATGAAGTGCAAACCGAGCGCCGTCCTTTGAAAGGCCCCTGGGGTCCTCTTCGGAAAGGGCAGGCGGCTGCTCCGCCACCTACCAAGGCTTGCTTTCCCCCTCGCTTTAATGAGCTGAATCTCTGCAGCTGGATCGCTGTGATCTGCTGTTAGGTCTTGTTAGGGAGCTGCCTTGCACTGAGCTTAGGGTGAGAGAGCAGGAGAGACGGCGGGGCAAATACTGCAGTGCTTGCTGGCAGGCTCTGCAGGGGCGGAGGAGAGCTGGTAGTGTTGATTCTTGCTTCGATGATCTTTCTCCAGCCCTGTGGAGCAATCAGCGTGCTAATATCAGAGCAGGCCTTTAAACTTCAGCTGCCGGTCTCCTTGTGTGGTGTACTTTTGATGGCCTAAGGTATTACTAGGAATTACTAGGGCAAGGCTTGAGGATTTTAAAAATTGAAGAGTATTAATAATTTAGGATATTGGCGTGACCGCATTGTGGCCTATATTTAACATGCTGTATAACCGTGTCTCTTCCAGTAAAAGCTGCACAATAGGAATGGTTCTTCGTCTGTGGAGTGATACTAAAATCCATCTTGACGGTGACGGGTAAGAAACCACATTCAAAGGATAAATGTGAATGTCCTTCCCTGCTTGGGGGCTGCTCTAGGAGAGATTCTCCATCGCTTTGCAAATTAAGTTCCAATTTTGGATTCATGGCTGCAGTCTTCTTATTCAGTGAGTTTTTGTGTTGCTGCCCTCAAAGTGCTCGGTGGAACCCGCGATACCCCGTGAATGTTCTCCGAAATCCCACTCGAGGGGTGGAGCTCCCGTTCCTGGCAGCCTGCGCCGGGAAGGGTGTCCGCTTGCCGTTCTTGTTTGGGAGGGTGTTGGAAAATCAGGGATGCAAATTCTCGTCCCTGATTCCCTTTGACTGTGAGTGCCCCTGTAGCTGCCTTGCAGTAGCTGTTTGTAGAGTGCTGGTTTCTGACTGGTTTTTTTTTTTTTCCCTGTCTCTGTTAGTGGCTTCAGCGTGAGCACTGCAGGGAGAATGCACATCTTCAAGCCAGTGTCGGTGCAAGCCATGTGGTATGTGTGTTAATTAGCTTTATTGAGAAAGAGACTGTCATTTCTGTGAATAAATTAAAAACAAATAAACAAACTGCATTTTAGCATTCTCCATAACTGGTACGTGGGGAGCTGCAGCAGAGGTGCTGCTTCCCTGTGTCAGCAGGCAGCAGTACTATAAAGGAACTGTGAGGATCCCGATTGGAAAACAGGATCTTCTGCTTCTGTTCGGAGCAGCTGTGTGCTCTTCAGTGTAAGGGAAATGGCACTGGGGAGATGAATAAATACGAAAGACCAGCTTGAATCTGTCGGGCTGCAGACGCAGTCTTTCCTCTCTGTGCATACTTTTCTGACTGGCTGAAGGAGCAGTCTCGGGACCCGTTGCCAATCTGATGGCGTTCCCCGAGTTCTGCCTCGTTACTGGGGCCAGGCTGGGGTTCCTGCCGCGCGGAAAGTTTCCGTGCCACCCCGGGTGCCTGTTCACCTTTCAGCTCCTGTCACCCCTCCCATGTGCAGGGATTCCAAAACACTGAGGCAGAGGTGGCTGAATCAGCAGCGGCTCTGCCAGCAAATTCCTCCTTGAAGAGGCTGCTGCCCAGCCCCGCACCGAACAAATGCGTCTCTCTTGGCCTGGGCAGTTTGCTGGCTCCTGTTGGAGCCTCGTGAGACCCCTGTCCTTGCGGCATCGGATGGGGAAAAGATACAGATGTAGAGAAGGATGTCGTGCTAGGGATGATTTGGCACAGAAACAAATGAAACTCTTGTTCCTGTCATTTTTGAACTCGGCCTCTCCTGTTGGCAACCTTAGATGTGGATAATGTGTTCAGTACAATGACATCTTCGGAGTAGAGCCTTGGAAAAAAAAAAAAAGAAAAAAGTGAGGAGGGAAGGAAGGAAAAAGTAATGCTAGAATTTGCAATAACAAATGACCCAATCTGGGCCTTGTCCCTGGAGTGTGTCAGGGGCCAAGAATGCTGGCAAATGTGCATCTGACTCCTTTCTGAAGGTGGTTTGAAAATTGTCCATGTTCTTTATTTTCCTTTGGTCTGGCTTTACAAGTTAGCTAATGATTAGATCCCAGAGCGACTTCTGCCTTGTTTTTGCCTGTTAATCAGGAGAAGATTTCTGCCTCTGCCTTGGACCAGCTCTTGAGAAGGCCTCCAAGGTGCAGTTTGTGCTCTCTCTGAACCCTGATGCAGTAAATCTGCGACTCTCAAAAGCAAACTGCAACAGACACCGCTGAAAATCTTCTTCCTCTGTGAGAATTCCTCAGATCCTGCTCTCTCCGTTCCTGGTGCTCACATCTGCACAAATCTGTTCCCCAAACTTGCAGGTCTGCTTTACAGATCCTCCATAAAGCCTGTGAAGTTGCAAGAAGGTACAACTACTTCCCCGGCGGGATGGCCTTGGTCTGGGCCACGTACTACGAAAGCTGCATCAGCTCCGACCAGAGCTGCATCAACGAGTGGAACGCGATGCAGGACCTGGAGTCCACCCGCCCCGACTCGCCAGCCCTGTTTGTTGACAAGTCAGTTCTGAATTTTATTAGAAAAAGTTGGCTTGGTTCATGAGAGAAACCTCCCCTTCTCCCCTTTGTTCCTCCGGTGGTTCATTTCCTTTCTTTTCGTAAATGTCTTCAGATGTTTTTCTTCATTATTCTCATAAAAATTGCTTTTAATGTAAGTCTTTACCAGCACTCCTCTGTACAGTACGAGTAGCGCCGTGTGTTTACTGCCAGTTGGAGACATCCTCTCCTTTTCCTTTTCAGGCCAACTGAAAGGGAACGAACAGAACGGCTCATTAAAGCCAAACTCCGGAGCATCATGATGAGCAAAGACCTGGAAAATGTGACTTCTAAGGAGGTAAATATAAAAATTCCTGCTGTCTCCTTCTCCCTGCTGGGCTCTGTTTCCAGCAAGTGCCGCGCTGATAGAGGGGCACCATATGGGCATCACTGGCTTTTGTGTGTGTATTTCCAACTCTTCTGTAAAGGCTTTTTGGCTTTGCTCTGTTTCCCCAGCACGGAAAGCAGGGTGGTACCAACATCCGAGCACGCTTTTCAAGACCGTAGTGACACGTATGTGACTTTCAAAAGCAAAATGCCTGGTTCTTGGCCAGCAGGGTGGCATCAGAGGTGATGCCCGCGTTACAGTCAGTTGTAGCTCATGGGGGCACGTCCAGGCGATGAATTTGCAGCCGCTGATGCCCCAGCGCGTCCCTGCGAATCACGCACACAAAGGCAGCGCTCTGGGAAGATGCAGTGGGTGGCGTGAGGCCTCGCAGCTGTGTTAGATGGGTGTCGTGATCTTGGCTTGCTCATGGACAGTGCAGAGCGAAGTATGTGCCTTCCTTTCTCCTTGGCAGCTTCGTTCTAAGGTTTTGTTTTCTTTGTTCCTGGGCAAATGTCAGAGAGGCTTGCAGATAACAATTTGCTAGTGAGTTTATGGATGGAAAATCACGAGTCAAGGCTAAAGCTAGCTCGGATCCACCCCACAGGCTGGTGTAAATCCATCCAGCCGCAGTGCAGACAGATTCTGAGCAAATAGAAGTGGTTCTTTTCAGGTTGGGGTTTTGTGGGTTTTTCGAGGGAGGCTATTAACGTGCAGGGCTTTCCTCCCTAAAGCTTCTCCCTGAAGGCTTCGGACAGGCTCTTGTGTACAGCAGCGTTGCAAGCTGTAGGTGCAAGCTGAGAACTCGTCTGTCTGTGTACGTGTCCTTAACTCTCGGTGCAGTCAAGATGCTTTGATTTTTCTCCAACCATTTTCCGTAGCGGGTTGAGCAAAGTTGTGCTGCTTTGCTCTGCCTCCCCGAAGCTGAGGTGCTGTGGGAGGATGGTAGGTCTGTGCCCTGACGTTCTGAAGAGGGAGAGCGCTGCAAACCTCTCTTCGAAACGCTGCTGCCATGATTCACTCCTATTGGGTTTGACATTTTTTTGTTAGCTGCTCTCCAAGGTCTCGTTTCTTATCTCTCGAATGATTTTTAAGAAGCAGTTATCCCAAAACACGTTTTTGTTTGTTTGTTCGTTTGTACTCTGATATCATCTGAAGTTTTATTTACAGAGCTTCAATTTGGGGGCTTAGGATACTTGGAGAAATGCCACATAGTGAGATTCCATGTCTCCAAAAGGTCGAATCCCTCTTGCTGTTTTTAATGAAGTATGGAAAAAGTGTTTTGTAAAGGAGTGCCAACAAATGTTTCTGTTGAACAGACGCAGTTCTAGGTGACATCCTTTGTTTTCTTCTCTGCAGATACGAAATGAGCTGGAGAAGCACATGAATTGCAACTTGAAGGAATTCAAGGAATTTATCGACAATGAAATGCTGCTTATCCTGGGTCAGATGGACAAACCGTCTCTGATTTTTGATCATTTGTATCTGGTAAGCTGCCACGTTAGGAGTCTGGGAATAGCAGGAGGCTCAGTGGGAGTGATCCGACTGTGACTGGGCGCGGGGGAAGCTGGGCTTTGCGTCAGGGCTGACTGGTGCAGCGCGAGCAGGAGGTGCAGCCCTCTATCCCACCCGCTCTGCAGACTCCACTCCAGGACCCGCACTGCTGGTAGAAGCCCGCAGTGGAGAAGCCCTTTTTTTCTAGCTGCATTCTTGTTTCTGGCACGTTTTACAATGGTTCTTTCCTGGCAGGTTGATCCTGTTTCAGGACATACCGTAGCACAGTTGAAGCTCTTTCCGCACGCGTTCATTTTCTGTTTCTAGCAATGGAGATTTTCTTTTAAGACAAAGAGAGGATCTAGCTGTAGATGCTGCCCCGCTGTGACAGCCGCTTGCTCTTTGGCTCTGGTTAGGGCCACGGCACTGCTTTTCTCGATTCAGCCTGTGAAGCTCTGTATGCGTGGCCAGAACTATGTGAAGAGTAAGGCTGAAGGTGAGGTGCTGTTCCAGCTGGTGCAAAAGCAGAGCGCGGTGCGTTTCCTCTTCTCTTTGCCACTAGATGGTACTCCAGGCAAAACCAGGCGCTGCCATCTGGAGCAAAGACTTGCTTCAGATGAGCACATTTGTTACCGTTATGCTCTGGGTTTTGTTTTGGGTTTTTTGCTGGAGAGAGTCAGAGGAAGTGCTCGTGTCTCAGGGCAAAACCTGCTTTTTAAACCCTTTTTAGCTTTCTGTATTGCAAGCATGGGGGGGATTCAAGGTGTAACCATGCCCATAGCCTTCAGGGTTTCCCTCACTTGTCATGTACCTGCGGCCACAGTCGTGCCACATGCAATCATTTTCTTTCCCTGCACTATTTGTCTCTGTGGTTAAGGATCGAGAGTGGCCAGGGGCAGTGATTTGGGATGTGCTCTGTCACGTGCTGGCCTGGAATGAACTCCTTGGGTGAGGACATCACGCCCTTGTCCCCTCCTTCAGGAGGAACCCTGCCTGCTCAGGACAGGACGTCTCCGTGCTGAGCTGCAGCGCTAGCTGCAGTGGTGCCGCGCTGCTCTTTCAGGGCCTAGCACCAATATTTCAGTGAGGCTGGGGGACTGCAGAACCTTAGGGAAGAGGGAGAGTCTCGGGCTCCTTTGAAACGTGTGTTTTGTGGCGGTTGCAGGGGTCCGAGTGGAACGCCTCCAACCTCGAGGAGCTGCAGGGCTCGGGGTGAGTACCGCACCTTTCAAGCAGCAGCCTTAGGCTCTCAAACCTCCCGTTGTTTGCCCGTAACTTACATTCAGCTCTCTTGAGATGACAGAAGACGTTTGTAATTTGGGCCCATTCCCAGCATTGTGAGCAACTTACCGTCAGGACCTTAGTCGAGAAGTCTTTCCTACCTCGTTCTGTCGGTTGGGTGTAGAGTGGAAATAACAAAACTCTTCGTTTGTGGATCTCCGAAGCCCCCCCATGCGCAGCAGCCGAGCGTGAAATGCCCATACATATTGTTGTGTCAGGTGTGAATTCCTGCAGGCTGCAGAAGAGCAAATATTGCAGCGCTAAGCTTAGGAAAAAACTCCCCTCGAAATGGAGCAGAACTTCCCGTGGGTGAGCGATCCCCGCCTCGCCTGCCCAGGCAGGCAGCTGCAGGGCTGTCTTTCACCACGCTCTCATCACCGCACCACTTCGTGCCGTGATTTACTTCCACGCTTTTTGGACGAGTGAGAGTTTGGTGTGTAAATATTTGCTGCTTGCCCAAGGCACGCACCAACCCTGATGTGAGAAACTGAAAAATATTGCTCAACAGCAGGACTGAAAATGTTGAATCTGGAGTCCTTGGGAGCAGATGCCTGAACATCTTCAAACACGTAGATCAACCAGCGCGTTGGTACTTTTGATCTACGGGGAAGGCATCTTGACATCAGTTGTCTTAAAGTCAAAGCTGGACAAATTCTGAAACAAATACCCGGTGTCCTTGATTTGTCTGAGCGATGAGAGATAATAAATCGATATGGGCACTTGTTCTCCTCGGGTACCTCGCGATCCCTGCTGTAATATTTAGCCAGAATTGAGAGATGCCACGTGACTCTCATTTCATATTTTTGATCAGAAAGAGGAGAAAAGCATGGGCTTGCAGCTAAAGCCTGAAGTTGAAAGCTGTGATTCCTGGGTTCTGTTCCCAGCTCTTGCCCACGTGGATCACTTGCAGCCGACGCGCTTTTCTGCTTGCAGCGGCGCAGAAGCTGTGTGTGGCACAGCGAGGGGTTTCCAATTAGGTTACAAAGCCTTGCGACAGGATAAAATAAACTTCTCCCTCGTGTGCCCAAGGTCCTGACGCTTTGAGTGGGGTATGTCGGTGGTGAGAGGTGGGCGAACGGGCAAGCCCGGTGCGTTCCGTGCGTGATCCATGTCACGGGGTGTCCCAGGGGTCCGGCGTCGGGGCTGTAGATCAAATCTTACCGTTTGCGCTGTGTCAGATCTCACAGGCTTCACAGCGTGTGTCAGTTCCCTTGCATGACCGTGGCGGTGCAACTTTATTTTTCTTTTCATTCTCCATAGCATTGACTACATTTTGAACGTGACCAGGGAAATAGATAATTTCTTCCCCGGTTTGTTCGCGTATCACAATATCCGAGTGTACGACGAGGAGACGACGGACCTCCTGGCTCACTGGAACGAGGCGTACCACTTCATAAATAAGGCCAAGTAAGTGGGCTGGGAGACACGACGTAGCACCAGAGCACACCCAGGCCACGGGGTCTGACGCCGTGCCCTGCGGGTTTCATCCTGCGTGGAGCTGGGCCCTCCCCGGAGCCACTCCACCGCTGAAGGAGGCAACAGGGCCTTTGCGTTGCTGCGGCCCCGCACCGTCCCCATACCATGTCTCTTCCTGTACTGACATTAACCTCTTCCTAGCCTGTGATGTTTTTTATTATTATTATTTTGTTTTGCTTCCAAGGGGAAATGAGGACATTTCCTCTTCTCAACAAGTGCTGGAAATACTCCAGCACGTGTCTGTGTTGGACTGACCCCAGCTGTCCCCGCGGACGGGATGGTGACAGAGCACGTCACACTCCGCTGGCCTTTTACACTCGGGTCGTTCCTGCGTGTCCCTGTACCCGAGGACTCGGGCAGGCAGGCAGGAGGTCGCTGAAATGGCAGCGTGACTGAAGCTGCCCTGCTCTAACTCCCAGCTTTTCTGGAGAGAGATTCTTCTCGTGGCCCGCTGAGTCCAGAACGGCTCTCGCCTACGTGAGCTGTGGCGTTCGGGCGGTCAGGGGGACAAAGTACTGTCCCTCCACCGTGTGAAGTGGTAACGGCAGATACCATAACCAGAAAGGTAAGACTTACTTTGCTGCTTGTCCTTCTGCAGGAAGAATCACTCCAAGTGCCTGGTGCACTGCAAAATGGGGGTGAGCCGGTCAGCATCTACCGTTATCGCTTACGCGATGAAGGAGTTTGGTTGGTCCCTGGAAAAGGCCTATAACTACGTGAAGCAGAAACGCAGCATTGCAAGACCGAACGCAGGCTTCATGAGACAGCTTTTGGAGTACGAAGGCATTTTAGACGCCAGGTAAGGCAACAGGGTGAATGGAAAGGTGACTTGCAGGAAAGAAAGGAGCTAATTGTAAGCAACCTCTCGTGGTTTTGTATCACAGACTGTTAGTCGGTCTCTGTGGAGTTCTGTTCAGGCAGTAGGTCCTTCTGCCCACGTCTTGCACACGTGCGTGTCGTGCTCGAAGACACGGGCAGAGTGTGCGTGGTGCTGTAGTCTGAAGTCTCTTTAGAAGGACGGATGCCGAAGCCTGGGCTAATTGTGTTTTTCTAAATCTTTTCTATGCCAGGCCTCCCTGGATGGAAATTAGCTGTCTGCTAGGGAGATCTGCCCTGGGTTAATTCAGTGAGGGCTTCTTTGCGACTGGGCAGCGTGTTCGTGTTTCTCAGCAGTTCAGCAAAACATTGTTCTTGTTTTATGAGGCAGAACTGAGCTCAGGCAGTGTTGGAGGCACATCGTTTGCAGTTCTGGGTGACCATGCCAATCACAAGCCTTGGTCATAGCACTGTAGTGGCTAATAAGGGTTTCTGCCTGCCCCGCTTGGCCTCGGCTTTACTGAGGGAAGAGGAGGAAAATCTTTCCTGTGCTGTGGCAGAGGGCTCTGTGCCCCCCCAGGACTCCTCCCGAGGGCTGTTCCCGTCGTGGGTGCGGTGCAGGGCACTGCTCTGGGTCCGCTGGGCCAGAGAGACTCTGGAGCAGGCAGGTGGGAGGGACAGAATCCTGATGCTGGAGGCAGTTTTGCCCAAGTGGGACTGCCAGGCTGGACCCAGCGGTCAGCTTCTCGGTTCCAGGTCGTGGAAAGGGCCGGACGTTGTGGGAGCTGAGCGTGCTCCAGTTCAGCAGCAGTCACTTGTGCCTTTGTCCTTTCCTCCAGCAAGCAGCGCCACAATAAGCTGTGGAAGCAGCAGGCGGAGAGCAACCTACCCCAGAACACGGATGGCACCACGGGCTCGGGCGACTTCTTACTCGAGAGCTTAGATATCGACCTGGAAAACCGCCTGGTTGACCTGGACACGCCATCACAGTCAGCGTACCTGGACAACCGCGCCGGCGCCGAAGTGTCCGTGGGGTTTAATTACTGCTTCCGTCGCCTCTCGGACACGCTGCTGGAGAACAAGACCCCCGGTGACAGGGAGGGCTTTTTCCACGTGGAGGAGCTGGAGCGGGACGCGCTGGCGGAGCGCGCTGCCTCGCTGGTGGGACAGCCGCCGCCTGCGCCTTCGGGGGGGGAGCCTGGTGGAAAGGGCGAAAGCCCTGGAGACGACGGAGCCGCTGGCGGAGCTGAGCAGTTTCAGCGAGAAGGAGGTGAAGAAGAAACCGGACTTCAGCCCCAGGAAGGGAAGGATGGTGCTGGGCCCCGGGGACCCAGGAGAGGACGGTGTCAGGGAGGAAAATCCGATGGAGAAGTGGAAGCGGCGTTTGTCCATGCACAAGGAGGAGAGCAGGCTTAATAGAGAGAACTTGAATAACAACAACAGCAAAAGGAGTTGCCCAGAGGATTTTGAGGTGCGTATGGAGTTGAAACGTAGGTGATTAGCGTGGCTGCCTCTGCTGCAAGTGAAACTGCTCTTCTCATCTTCATAGCACAGTTTCATTTGACTTGGAGAAAGCCTTTCATTCCATGAGGAGCTGCTTCCTTTTCGAAGTGCTTCTGAACATGGCTTTGCTTGCCCAAGCTATGGATTTAGATGCCAGAGAGAGAGAGCGCGCACACGTGAGTGCCCTGTAAACTGCCTCGGGCAGCTTGCTCGCGTGACCGTCGCTGGGAACGGTAGGTATCCTTCCGCTGAACATACGGGCTGCTGAGAAGGTACACGGCTTTTGTTCCTGCTGCAGGGCCCGCGGAGAGGGGGAAACGGGCTTCGTTGCGGATCTCCTTGGCTGTAAACACGCCTTGTGGTCTGTGCCTTCGCTCCGCTGATTGCCGCTGTCTTGTTGTGTGCATGCTCATCTGTACCCGTTCTCTTCTTTGCAGCACGATGCCGTGTTTGGGATCCTCAGCAAAGTCAAGCCTTCCTATCAGTCCTGCGCCGACTGCATGTACTCCTCGGCCGGTTTGTCCCCCGACTCCTTCGGGGAGCAGTGCGAAAAGCTGAACGCCGGCGCTGCGCGTCGCGGCAGCACCATCTGCACGCAGCCCGCCCTCCTCTCCCACATCCACTCCCGCTTGGC